TGTTGAAATGTTTTAGTTTGCACTAATGAATACGACAAATTAGAAAACCAAGTGATTTGGGGATCATTTTATTTCTGTCTCAGTCTGAACAGTTTATTTCTGTCTCAGTCTGACTGATTACTGGACAACAAGCTCTCCATCGTTACGTTAGAACATTGATTAGCAAAAATTGGGGGGGGGGGGGGGGGGGGGGGAGGACAGCACAGGGCATTGGGGGGGGGGAGGACAGCACAGGGCATTGGGGGGGGACAGCATTGGGGAGGGAGACAGCACAGGGCATTGGGGAGGGGGGGACAGCACAGGGCATTGGGGGGGGGGAGCACAGGGCATTGGGGAGGGGGACAGCACATTTTAGAATAGAACACTCGGTTTCACTGTAGCACCAGTGGAACCGCCCACTCATTTCAGACCCACCCAATCTTTACTCTCAAATAAGCTCATGTAATACAGAAAATAAACAAGAATAAACACAAATTCAATGGTTTTCTACAAAATAAGAGATTAAACTTGCTTTAGGAGATGAGACTGAAAATATCCCAGGAAGGTAGGTTAGATGCTGTCCGAGCAGGTTCTTCCATTTGCAGTCACTGGTAGGGTAAAGAGCTGGTCTGAGGTCGAAGGTGAGATTCCCTAAAATTCAACTGGGGGTGGGGGTCTCCGAGCCCTCTTTCACAGACACAGCAGTATCCACCTTCCCACCGGTCTGCTTCACGGGCCAGTTTCATGGACAGAGATTAAGCCTAGCCTTGGACTAAGAAGCATTCCATTTATATAGTGCTTTCAGTCCAGGACCAGGTTTAACGTGTGCAACGTGGAATATATCTAATGAGAGCATTACACAAACCAGGTATATTAACATAATCAGTACGACCACCTGTTTGGAGGTTTGTCCCAGTAACTAAACAGTCAGTTTCCCTCTAGAACCACACATACTCACCCCACCCCCCCCCCCCATCAACAAACTGAAAATGGCTTCCCCACCCACTCCCTTCAAAAAAAAAAAAAAAAAAAAAATCGGACGATTAAATTAAACAACTGCAAAACCTTAAAAACCGGTGACATGTATTCATTGATTTAAAACTAAAAGCAGCGCTAGTGTTCCTCCTTATATTTCCCAAAGGTTCAGATTTAGGTAGGCGTTCTCCTCCGATCTATTCCCACACGTGACGTCTGCAGTGTGCCACCGCCTGGGGAGGACAGACAAGACCAACAGATCAGCCGGAGGACAGACAAGACCAACAGATCAGACAAGACCAACAGATCAGCCGGAGGACAGACAAGACCAACAGATCAGCCGGAGGACAGACAAGACCAACAGATCAGACCGAGATGGCCTTCCCTAAGGGATAGTTTCATCCTTTAGTTTACATCCGGTGATATTCAGCAGTACTTTAGACACACGACTAAGAACAGGTCTGGATGAGCGATGCTTCCCGGGCCAATCGTAATGAATAGCCAGAATAACAGTTTCATAGAGCAGACATTTGTATTGCTTTTTTATTTTTTTATCACAGATAATAAAACTATTTTTCAGGTCATTCCTGGAATGAAACACTGATCACTGCGGTTGTTACTATGAGATGGACTGTGTGGACAGGAAGAGTTCAGGTTGCAGTGCAGACTAGTGACTGTATGTTCTAAGTCAGTACTCACGTTGCAGCGTTTTGCTGTGTCCATATCCTTGCACCAGAAGGCGGGTCCCCAGCTACACTGCTCCATACCCAGAAGCCTTCGCACTGCCTCAGGACACACCCCCACCTTCTGTAACCAGGAACAACCACAGAGCCCACTGTCAAGACACTAGCATTCAGGTAACGGAAGTATTCATTCAACCAGGCAAGTCAGTTAACTGAATTCCTTTTTACTAACTCAGAGCCTTGACAATATATTTTATTCTGTAGATTTCACCCTCATCATTACTCTCCCGATGCCCTTTTTCTATATTAAAAGAAATTAAATTAAAATTCCAGTGCTCACCATGCAGACAAAGTCAGGGTCCAACATTTGCAGCAGGAGCTGAACCAGCATGGGCTCATACTGCTCAATCAGCTGGTCACACTGGAGGAGACAGAGTGGTTAACAGAGTCGCAGACTGCTCAACCAGCTGGTCACACTGGAGGAGAAGTGGTTAACAGAGTCACAGACTGCTCAACCAGCTGGTCACACTGGAGGAGACAGAGAGTGGTTAACATAGTCACAGACTGCTCAACCAGCTGGTCACACTGGAGGAGACAGAGAGTGGTTAACAGAGTCACAGACTGCTCAACCAGCTGGTCACACTGGAGGAGACAGAGAGTGGTTAACAGAGTCACAGACTGCTCAACCAGCTGGTCACACTGGAGGAGACAGAGAGTGGTTAACAGAGTCACAGACTGCTCAACCAGCTGGTCACACTGGAGGAGACAGAAAGTGGTTAACAGAGTCACAGACTGCTCAACCAGCTGGTCACACTGGAGGAGACAGAGAGAGTGGTTAACAGAGTCACAGACTGCTCAACCAGCTGGTCACACTGGAGGAGACAGAGAGAGTGGTTAACAGAGTCACAGACTGCTCAACCAGCTGGTCACACTGGAGGAGACAGAGAGAGTGGTTAACAGAGTCACAGACTGCTCAACCAGCTGGTCACACTGGAGGAGACGTGTTGTTTATGATATGATATCTAATGACGTGTTGTTTATGATATGATACCTAATGAGGTGTTGTTTATGATATGATACCCAATGACATGTTGTTTATGATACCTAATGACATGTTGTTTATGATATGATACCTAATGACGTGTTGTTTATGATATGATACCTAATGACGTGTTGTTTATGATATGATACCTAATGACGTGTTGTTTATGATATGATACCTAATGACGTGTTGTTTATGATATGATACCTAATGACGTGTTGTTTATGATAAGATACCTAATGACGTGTTGTTCATGATATGATTCCTAATGACGTGTTGTTTATATGATACCTAATGACATGTTGTTTATGATATGATACCTAATGACGTGTTGTTTATGATATGATACCTAATGACATGTTGTTTATGATATGATACCTAATGACGTGTTGTTTATGATATGATACCTAATGACGTGTTGTTTATGATATGATACCTAATGACGTGTTGTTAATGATATGATACCTAATGACGTGTTGTTTATGATATGATACCTAATGACGTGTTGTTTATGATATGATACCTAATGACATGTTGTTTATGATACCTAATGACGTGTTGTTTATTATATGATACCTAATGACATGTTTATGATATGATACCTAATGACATGTTGTTTATGATATGATACCCAATTACATGTTGTTTATGATATGATACCTAATGACATGTTGTTGATATGATACCTAATGACATGCTGTTTATGATATGATACCTAATGACATGTTTATGATATGATACCTAATGACGTGTTGTTTATGATATGATACCTAATGACATGTTGTTTATGATATGATACCTAATGACATGTTGTTTATGATATGATACCTAATGACGTGTTGTTTATGATATGATACCTAATGACGTGTTGTTTATGATATGATACCTAATGACGTGTTGTTTATGATATGATACCTAATGACGTGTTGTTTATGATACCTAATGACGTGTTGTTTATGATATGATACCTAATGACATGTTGTTTATGATATGATACCTAATGACATGTTTATGATATGATACCTAATGACATGTTTATGATATGATACCTAATGACGTGTTGTTTATGATATGATACCTAATGACATGTTGTTTATGATATGATACCTAATGACGTGTTGTTTATGATATGATACCTAATGACGTGTTGTTTATGATATGATACCTAATGACGTGTTGTTTATGATATGATACCTAATGACGTGTTGTTTATGATATGATACCTAATGACGTGTTGTTTATGATATGATACCTAATGACGTGTTGTTTATGATATGATACCTAATGACGTGTTGTTTATGATATGATACCTAATGACGTGTTGTTTATGATATGATACCTAATGACGTGTTGTTTATGATAGGATACCTAATGACGTGTTGTTTATGATATGATACCTAATGACATGTTGTTTATGATATGATACCTAATGACATGTTTATGATATGATACCTAATGACGTGTTGTTTATGATACCTAATGACGTGTTGTTTATTATATGATACCTAATGACATGTTGTTTATGATATGATACCCAATGACATGTTGTTTATGATATGATACCTAATGACATGTTTATGATATGATACCTAATGACATGTTTATGATATGATACCTAATGACGTGTTGTTTATGATATGATACCTAATGACATGTTGTTTATGATATGATACCTAATGACGTGTTGTTTATGATATGATACCTAATGACGTGTTGTTTATGATATGATACCTAATGACATGTTGTTTATGATATGATACCTAATGACGTGTTGTTTATGATATGATACCCAATGACGTGTTGTTTATGATATGATACCTAATGACATGTTGTTTATGATATGATACCCAATGACATGTTGTTTATGATATGATACCTAATGACGTGTTTATGATATGATACCTAATGACGTGTTGTTTATGATATGATACCTAATGACATGTTGTTTATGATATGATACCCAATGACATGTTTATGATATGATACCCAATGACATGTTTATGATATGATACCCAATGACGTGTTGTTTATGATATGATACCCAATGACGTGTTGTTTATGATATGATACCCAATGACGTGTTGTTTATGATATGATACCCAATGACGTGTTGTTTATGATATGATACCCAATGACGTGTTGTTTATGATATGATACCCAATGACGTGTTGTTTATGATATGATACCCAATGACGTGTTGTTTATGATATGATACCCAATGACGTGTTGTTTATGATATGATACCCAATGACGTGTTGTTTATGATATGATACCCAATGACGTGTTGTTTATGATATGATACCCAATGACGTGTTGTTTATGATATGATACCCAATGACATGTTGTTTATGATATGATACCCAATGACATGTTGTTTATGATATGATACCCAATGACGTGTTGTTTATGATATGATACCCAATGACGTGTTGTTTATGATATGATACCCAATGACGTGTTGTTTATGATATGATACCCAATGACGTGTTGTTTATGATATGATACCCAATGACGTGTTGTTTATGATATGATACCCAATGACGTGTTGTTTATGATATGATACCCAATGACGTGTTGTTTATGATATGATACCCAATGACGTGTTGTTTATGATATGATACCTAATGACGTGTTGTTTATGATATGATACCTAATGACGTGTTGTTTATGATATGATACCTAATGACGTGTTGTTTATGATATGATACCTAATGACGTGTTGTTTATGATATGATACCTAATGACATGTTGTTTATGATATGATACCTAATGACGTGTTGTTTATGATATCTGGCAAGATACAAACAGTTAAATCTATTGTTTTCCATCACCCTGTTCTCCCCTACATTTCCTGGTTGTAAAAATAAAAATGTCCTCTTTCCTCACTTCATCGGTTATGCTGTTCATTCTGCCATATTGTCTTGTCCAGCCCTAATTGCTCTAGAGGCCATAGGATCAATTTCTGTTTATTCAAGCCCCCCCCAAGTTCTGGTAGGGTTCAATATACATTGCATTTTAGTGGCTCAAACAGCTTCTGTGTGCTGCAAACAGATTTTCATACTAGACACCAAACCGAAACAGGGGAGGGACTCCCTGAACTTATTAGCCAATAAGAAAGAAGGTTGTTGAAATGTTTTAGTTTGCACTAATGAATACGACAAATTAGAAAAACCAAGTGGATTTGGGGATCATTTTATTTCTGTCTCAGTCTGAACAGTTTATTTCTGTCTCAGTCTGACTGATTACTGGACAACAAGCTCTCCATCGTTACGTTAGAAACATTGATTAGCAAAAATTGGGGGGGGGGGGAGGACAGCACAGGGCATTGGGGGGGGGGGGGAGGACAGCACAGGGCATTGGGGGGGGACAGCATTGGGGAGGGAGACAGCACAGGGCATTGGGGAGGGGGGGACAGCACAGGGCATTGGGGGGGGAGCACAGGGCATTGGGGAGGGGGACAGCACATTTTAGAATAGAACACTCGGTTTCACTGTAGCACCAGTGGAACCGCCCACTCATTTCAGACCCACCCAATCTTTACTCTCAAATAAGCTCATGTAATACAGAAAATAAACAAGAATAAACACAATTCAATGGTTTCTACAAAATAAGAGATTAACTTGCTTTAGGAGATGAGACTGAAAATATCCCAGGAAGGTAGGTTAGATGCTGTCCGAGCAGGTTCTTCCATTTGCAGTCACTGGTAGGGTAAAGAGCTGGTCTGAGGTCGAAGGTGAGATTCCCTAAAATTCAACTGGGGGTGGGGGTCTCCGAGCCCTCTTTCACAGACACAGCAGTATCCACCTTCCCACCGGTCTGCTTCACGGGCCAGTTTCATGGACAGAGATTAAGCCTAGCCTTGGACTAAGAAGCATTCCATTTATATAGTGCTTTCAGTCCAGGACCAGGTTTAACGTGTGCAACGTGGAATATATCTAATGAGAGCATTACACAAACCAGGTATATTAACATAATCAGTACGACCACCTGTTTGGAGGTTTGTCCCAGTAACTAAACAGTCAGTTTCCCTCTAGAACCACACATACTCACCCCACCCCCCCCCCCATCAACAAACTGAAAATGGCTTCCCCACCCACTCCCTTCAAAAAAAAAAAAAAAAAAAAAATCGGACGATTAAATTAAACAACTGCAAAACCTTAAAAAACCGGTGACATGTATTCATTGATTTAAAACTAAAAGCAGCGCTAGTGTTCCTCCTTATATTTCCCAAAGGTTCAGATTTAGGTAGGCGTTCTCCTCCGATCTATTCCCACACGTGACGTCTGCAGTGTGCCACCGCCTGGGGAGGACAGACAAGACCAACAGATCAGCCGGAGGACAGACAAGACCAACAGATCAGACAGAGGACAGACAAGACCAACAGATCAGACCGAGATGGCCTTCCCTAAGGGATAGTTTCATCCTTTAGTTTACATCCGGTGATATTCAGCAGTACTTTAGACACACGACTAAGAACAGGTCTGGATGAGCGATGCTTCCCGGGCCAATCGTAATGAATAGCCAGAATAACAGTTTCATAGAGCAGACATTTGTATTGCTTTTTAATTTTTTTATCACAGATAATAAAACTATTTTTCAGGTCATTCCTGGAATGAAACACTGATCACTGCGGTTGTTACTATGAGATGGACTGTGTGGACAGGAAGAGTTCAGGTTGCAGTGCAGACTAGTGACTGTATGTTCTAAGTCAGTACTCACGTTGCAGCGTTTTGCTGTGTCCATATCCTTGCACCAGAAGGCGGGTCCCCAGCTACACTGCTCCATACCCAGAAGCCTTCGCACTGCCTCAGGACACACCCCCACCTTCTGTAACCAGGAACAACCACAGAGCCCACTGTCAAGACACTAGCATTCAGGTAACGGAAGTATTCATTCAACCAGGCAAGTCAGTTAACTGAATTCCTTTTTACTAACTCAGAGCCTTGACAATATATTTTATTCTGTAGATTTCACCCTCATCATTACTCTCCCGATGCCCTTTTTCTATATTAAAAGAAATTAAATTAAAATTCCAGTGCTCACCATGCAGACAAAGTCAGGGTCCAACATTTGCAGCAGGAGCTGAACCAGCATGGGCTCATACTGCTCAATCAGCTGGTCACACTGGAGGAGACAGAGAGTGGTTAACAGAGTCGCAGACTGCTCAACCAGCTGGTCACACTGGAGGAGAAGTGGTTAACAGAGTCACAGACTGCTCAACCAGCTGGTCACACTGGAGGAGACAGAGTGGTTAACATAGTCACAGACTGCTCAACCAGCTGGTCACACTGGAGGAGACAGAGAGTGGTTAACAGAGTCACAGACTGCTCAACCAGCTGGTCACACTGGAGGAGACAGAGAGTGGTTAACAGAGTCACAGACTGCTCAACCAGCTGGTCACACTGGAGGAGACAGAAAGTGGTTAACAGAGTCACAGACTGCTCAACCAGCTGGTCACACTGGAGGAGACAGAGAGAGTGGTTAACAGAGTCACAGACTGCTCAACCAGCTGGTCACACTGGAGGAGACAGAGAGAGTGGTTAACAGAGTCACAGACTGCTCAACCAGCTGGTCACACTGGAGGAGAGAGACAGAGAGTGGTTAACAGAGTCACAGACTGCTCAACCAGCTGGTCACACTGGAGGAGAGAGACAGAGAGTGGTTAACAGAGTCACAGACTGCTCAACCAGCTGGTCACACTGGAGGAGAAGTGGTTAACACATGTTTATTTAACCAGGATGGTCCACTCAGTAATATTTGCCTCTGCTTTCAAGAGTCCCTAAACTCACCTCGGTCCTCACGGCCTCTGGGACAAAGCTGCAGACTTTCCTGACTGCGTCTTCGATCTGTGCCTCTGTGGCGTTCTGTTCCAGGATCCCGTCGATGTACCGCACAGCCATCTTACACACGTCACAGAAACCACCCGCCTCAACCTGGGCCTGGTCCAGAACCGCTAAAGAGATGAACCAAGAAAAATGAGTAAATGTGCTTCCCATTGTACTGCGTTTTGGTGTACCCTACTTAGAACCACCCCCACGTTCACTTCCTTTCAGACGCCACGTTCACTTCCTTTCAGACCCCACGTTCACTTCCTTTCAGACCCCACGTTGGATGATAACCACTCTACTCACGGATGAAGGCGCGGCTGGCGTCCTTGCAGAGCCCCAGCACGGTGCAGATAGTCTTGGGGTCAGCCTCCTGTACCAGCAGCTCAATGATGGCCTGGCCGTAGGCCTCAATCAGGTCCTTACACTGGGCCGACAGGGAGGAGGGCAGCACAGAGCACACCTTCTCCACAGCATGCACCACATCCTGCTGAGAAGGGGAGGAAAGGAGAGACTTAGATTACAGGGCTGAGGCCCAGAAGAGGACTGGCCACCACTGGGCCGGCTCAGCCAGAAGAGGACTGGCCACCACTGGGCCGGCTCAGCCAGAAGAGGACTGGCCACCACTGGGCCTCGTTTCTCTAGGTTCCCTGCCTTTCTAGGGAGTTTTTCCCCTAGCCACTGTGCATCTGCATTGCTTGCTGTTTGGGGTTTTAGGCTGGGTTTCTGTAAAGCACCGTGACGTGCTGATGGAAAGGCCTTTATAAATACATGTGATAGATGTTCCTTTCATCTCCTAGTTTAGTCATTGACCATACACCATTTATTCAGTTGAGACAATTCTCATACGACAGCAGCTTGGCGAAACAATATCCACTGCTGCTTGAACAAATAACATCCTGCCATCCATCACACAGGGTCAGAGTAATGCGTGTTCCCATCCATCACCCAGGGTCAGAGTAATGCGTGTTCCCATCCATCACACCAGGGTCAGAGTAATGCGTGTTCCCATCCATCACACCAGGGTCAGAGTAATGCGTTTAGCCATCCATCACACAGGGTCAGAGTAATGCGTGTTCAAAGACCAGAGGCATTATAAAACAGGTTCTTGTTCGTCCTTGACACAGAGAAGAACACTTGGCCTAAGGAAGATTTATGAAGATAAACTGTAATAAGATATAACATTGTTAGGGTTGCGAATGACTCACTTAAGAGAATCAACTAATTCATTCAGGCTGTACATTGCAGACAGAATAGTTTCTGTTTTTTTTTTTTGTTTTTTTTTTAAGTTACCTGCTAGGATTTCTCCAATCAGATAGAATTCCGTTTTTCAAAACTGAAAAATTAGATTCTGATCCTCCGGATAGGGATATGGTAATCCGATCTCCCCTTTAAATCAGGATTAAAAATTTTTTTTTTTGCGTTGTTCAAAACTCAAATGAAGGGGAAAGAGGCCAGAAAAACAGACTAGTTGAACAGCAGATCAAGTGACCGTGCCCACAGAAAACTGTGCATTCACTGGAAAGATATTGGGGGTTGTATTTTCAGTGGACTTCTGAACAATATGGATTTGTGTTTAGAATTATTTGAGTTATCCAGTGAGCTGGTGATATTAGTGTTATATTGAGAAGTGTTAAATAAATGCATCTACTGACTTCTAAGTGATATATAGGCTCTATTATTTTTAATCAAGGCATCTTTATTCATGTAGTTCCCTCATCGGTTTCCCTACGACCGTGTAGAAGTAATACCACAACCTGTCCAGTAGATGGCGAGGCCCGTTCAAAGCACTGACAATCCAGATTCTGTCATCTTCATTATTGTGGTATCTGGATCAGAATTATTATTTTTCAATCAAAAACATCTTAAAAACCGCCAGATCGATCTGATCCTGGATAGCAAAAAAAAAAAGGGGGGATTACAGAATCCGGATCATTCTGATAAAAGACAAGTTGAGACAAACCAGTCCCTGAAGACAAGCGAACTGATCAGAGCTTGTTATGGTCAGCATGGTCTCTTACCTCCGTCTTCATCATCCAGCATGCCCGAGGTGGAGCGCAATCACTTTTTACATGATAAAACTATAATTTCTAACTCCGTTAAAAAAAAAAAAAAACAGCGTGATGTTTCAGTCTACTCCTGTTTGAACCTGAAACCCTTTAGTACTTTACCACAGTCAGTGTTTTCTAGCAGGTCATGACTCCTGAGCAACATGTTGGGGTGACCTACCTCAGTCTGCTCATCCTCCAGCATGGTCTCCACCTCCTTCATCATGAACTCACATACGCCACATTGGGGCGAGTCACGGGCACGGACCATGTTCTACAGAAAAATACAAGTTAGTTAGTATAGTAGCTCAGTTGATAGAGCATGGCGTTTGCAACGCCAGGGTTGTGGGTTCGATTCCCACAGGGGGTATGAAAAAATTAATAATGTATGCACTAACTGTAAGTCGCTCTGGATAAGAGCGTCTGCTAAATGACTAAAATGTAAATGTATAGCAATACCCAGTACCCCAAGATCCGTGAGATTGGAAATAAATACATTTCCAGACAATCTAGATTTTGGAAAGCTGAATGCCGAGTCCAGTAAATGTTGTTACTGCAGGTAGTACTCTGAAGAGTCCAGTGTCTTTACATTGATGATGAACAGTGTCTGTCATGACTGATCGCTTGTTCAGTTCATACACGTTTGAAAAAAATAATAAAAAATAAACGAGGTGTTCAACGTGGCCAGTGCACTTGCTAGTATCAGGAAGTGACCCTACCTTGGCAGGCTTGGCAGCCTCCATCTTAGTGGCAGGAACCAGTTTGACAGCAGGGATGGCCTTGGCAACGGGGATGGCCTTGGCGGCCACCAGCTTCATCATGGGGACAGAGCTCTTCACATCAGCAGAGCAGAAGCCAGCGAAGGCACAGATATCCTTGGGTTGCTGAGAGGGGGGGGGGAGAATGTCAGAATGGACATTTGGATACATTCATACCTCAGAAAATGTTTCATCACATGCTGTTAGGATGACGAGCCATGCTATACGTTCTACAGTGTTATCATGCAATCAAATTTTAAAACCCACACACTGCCCTCACAATAAGTACCCATACAATACACAGTCTAAGCCACCAACCCATAAGTCTCTTTGTAAAATGGTTCTAGAGCCAGAGGTGTGCATAGGGCAATATGCACCCAGTTCAGATGGTTGCAGACACTAATGAGGCATTAAGACTATCATTTTGGTAGTGACAGTCATTCATGTTTGTGGCATGAAAAGAGGAAGAAAACATTACATTGACCCATCTGCAGTCTAGTATCAAGACATGCACATAAAATATATTTCCAAAAGAAGCTTGATGGCTTTCAACCTAAAGATGATTTGCATCCAGCACAAATAAACAGAACAACATTGGGACACAGTTCTAGAGCAGTCAAGGTGACTATTTAAAGTAAGTGGCACTAGTGGGCAGACAGTACAGGAAGCAGACAGTACAGGAAGCAGACAGTACAGGAAGCAGATGCTAAGGCTGTGGGCAGACAGTACAGGAAGCAGATGCTAAGGCTGTGGGCAGACAGTACAGGAAGCAGATGCTAAGGCTGTGGGCAGACAGTACAGGAAGCAGATGCTAAGGCTGTGGGCAGACAGATTGTGTGTCTGAAAAATAGATAGTTTTTTCAATGGGCGTCATCCGTTGAAGGATGGACAATGGACAGGATTGTCTTGTCAAATTTAAAAAACCCACATATGTCGGCCTTAATGCATATGTAACTGGAACTTTTGCAGGACAAAAAAAAAATCCTAAAATCGAACAGTGATGAATGCGTAATACAATTTGATCCAAGTCACTGTGTGGCCACAGCCTGAAGGGTGAGAGACTCAAAGCTGAACACAGAGAGAGACCTACCTGTTCCTGGAGACCAGAGAGCAACCCCAGAGCAGGGGGAGAGAGAGCAAAAAGAGGTACATGAATGGAGGAGGGGATGAGGAGAGAGGGAAGAATACAAATAAAACGAGTGATTAAAGATGAATGAAATCAGCAGGCTAGGTGGGGTAGTGGTATGGGCTAAATGGATCTATTGTGCTATAATGTACTTAAGTATCGAAAGTATAAATCATTTTTAAATTCCTTACATTAAACAAACCAGACGGCACAAATTTGTTGATTTTTTATTTCTTTACGGATAGCCAGGGGAACACTACAACACCATTTACAAACTAAGCATATGTTTAGTGAGTCCACCAGATCAGAGGCAGTAGGGATGACCAGGGATGTTCTCTTGATAGGTGTGTGAATTGGACCATTTTCCTGTCCTGCTAAGCATTCAAAATCTAACGAGTACTTTTGGGTGTCAGGGAAAATGTATGGAGTAAAAAGTACATTATTTTCTTTAGGAGTGAAGTAAAGTACAGACCCAGAAAAACTTAAGTACTTTAAAGTATTTTTTACTTAAGTACTTTACACCACTGGTAATATTACGCAGAACTATGGGCTAAATGATGAGAGGTATTGTTAAATGGTTTAACGCTGGAACTTAGATCACGTAGAAGGAGGAGTTACTCACCATAGACATAAGCTCCTGGACAATGAGAGGAGCGTACTGGCTGACGTACTGCTTGCACTGAAACACAGGAGAGGACAGGACATTTTATAACCATGTGCTCTCCTAGCTTCATAGATTAAAAGTACTAGGCCGCAAGCCTCTCCAGAAAGATCGAAGCAAACCGGATGGACGTCATGAAAATGATCGGAGGTTGAGGGTAGAGCAAGTTCAGGAGTAAAAACAGACAAAATAGAATTATTGTAAAATTGACTGTGTCCATAAAATGTAGATAGTATGTATAAGCTGGAAGTAGAGGCCTAAGCATTGTTGTTCACTAGTTTACCCCAAGTAGGGAAGGGGTGGCGGGGTTGGAAAGTAATAAAGGGAAATATATATATATTTGTTAAGGAGATATATGCAAGAATATTTTTAAATAAAGCCTCTCCAATCCTGTTCCTGGAGGGCTACCCTCCTGTAGGTTTTAACTCCAACCCTGTTCCTGGAGAGATACCCTCCTGTAGGTTTTCGCTCCAACCCCAGTTGTAATTAACCTAACTCTCCAGGAACAGGGTTGGAGAGCCCTGATCTTGGGTAAGAAAGCCAATTTATTTCACTCTAGTGAAAATAAATTGTATTTCTCTGTCCTCCCTTGTTATAAAACCCAGTCCTCTCACCAGGTCAGCGATCACACTGGTTCTGGATCTGTAACTAACTAGATAACTAGTCCTCTCACCAGGTCAGCGATGCCAGGTCCCAGCAGGTCACACTGGTTCTGGATCTGTATCTAACTAGATAACTAGTCCTCTCACCAGGTCAGAGATGCCAGGTCCCAGCAGGTCACACTGGTTCTGGATCTGTATCTAACTAGATAACTAGTCCTCTCACCAGGTCAGAGATGCCAGGTCCCAGCAGGTCACACTGGTTCTGGATCTGTAACTAACTAGATAACTAGTCCTCTCACCAGGTCAGAGATGCCAGGTCCCAGCAGGTCACACTGGTTCTGGATCTGTTCGATCAGAGAGTTGACGAAGGTGGAGTTGCTCTTAGCCTCGTCCTGGGTGTCTGTGATGAACTTCACACAGTCCTCACACACGTCTCCACTCTCCTACAGGGGACAGAAGACATTCACTAGTGAATGAGGAGTAGCAGTTACCTCTACACACATACCAATATGAATCAGTAGTAGTTTAAAGTTGGTACCGGGTCGTGTTCAGTAGGGGAATGTTTTGAAATGGGGCGGTACAGACAGAATTTGTCAATGAGAGCACTGATTTCAGTTTTCCGTTGCAAAACAATTTGGTACTTTGTGCCCTACTGAACACAACCCAGGTGCATCTAGATTAGGTGTAATAGGAAATCAAATGCAGAATCTATTTTTTCTCTCTCTCTCCGTAAAGCCCTTTCAGACGTCACAAAGACGTATGACCATGTACCTGTTTTGGGGCAGCTTCCTGCTGTTTTGGGGCAGCTTCCTGCTGGGGGTAGAGGAGCCCAGGGACGTTGAGGAGGAAGGGGGCGACCCTCTGGGCCAGGTCTACCCGAGGGATCTCATTGGACGTGAGCTGGGGGATCTGGTTGGACTGGAGTTCAGCCAGCCTGGCCAGAGCTGCCTGCTGGGTCTCACACAGACCCATGGCGCCACACACCACCTGGGGGTCCTCCTGGAACCCAGAATCAGCACCCACTTTAGGGTCACTACAACATGCACGTCTCACTACCACGCCACCATTAACTCACTACTGTTCCTCACACACACGGCTGCTGAGGGGATGACCGCTTATTATAATAATGGCTGGAATGGAATCAAACGTTTGACGACTTCGATACCATTCCATTTATTTAGTTCCAGCCATTACCATGAGTCCGTCCTCCCCAATTAAAAAAAGGTGCAACCAACATTCTGTGACACACACAACAATGTAACTCTCAGGGTCAGTTTTCCACTTCAGACCCAGACTAGGGCTACTCCAGGACTAAAAAAAGAATCTCCACTGTAAGTGTTTGTGTCCAGGAACAGTCTTAAAATCATCTATATGTATTGCTGTCCATCTGGTGCAATAGCCATAGCGGGTTGAACTATAGAGGATGCAGCATTTAGCCTGTCAGTCACAGGAAGCAGTAGAGGCCCACAAAGAGCAGTCTGTCTGTGTGAACAGAGCACCCACTAGCGAGCATCCTAAATGCCTCTCCTTCACTAGTCCCCAGCCCACACACACACAAACAAGCTCCACTGTGTTGCCCCTTTGTGTCACAACAGACAGATGGAGTCTGATAAAGGAATACGTTTTACTTAACAATAAATGATCTTTACTCCAGAGAGCTCAAACTCTTAAAAATCAGATCTAATGCCTATGCCAGTCTCACGCCAAGCACCTTCAGTGGTGTCCTGTAGTGACAACATTCAATGCGTAGGATTATAGAACGTGTCATCTCTCATCAAGTGGTCCTCAAAATGTTGCTTTACCTCATTGTCAAACGTTATAAAACTTTTTGCAAAATCTAATATCTCCATTCAGTCACAACAGATTACGGTCCTCTGACTAAACTGTATGGTAGATATCAGGGCCAACAGGCATCCAGTCAACTTTTTGCTTATCAGTTCAGCTGTGATTTGGCTGTCTAACACCGAAAATCTTTCATAGGAATGTTTTAATAAAAAAAAAAAAAAAAATCATGTTATGGCTGTTAACAGTCCAGTTATTATAGGTCTATAGTACGTACCAGTTCTCCAGTGATGATACCCACGAGGATGGGGTAGTAGCTGTCCACCAGCTCCTTACACTCCGCAGACAGGCTCTTGTCAGGGATCAAGGTACAGGCCTTCTCCATGTAGCCCAGGATCTCACCCTAGAAAACACACACACTTAAGAGATCTCACAGCCTCAGAACACATTGTCTGTCTTCACCAGCTGTTGTCGATCTAACCTCTCCCTCTGGGAGAACGACTGCTATCCAACTACTCAAGAGGAACGGTTGCGTCTTATGAACTCAATTTGGGGACTGGAAAACAGTTCCGGCATATATGCACCGATTGTGTGTACGCTGGTTGGAAGAAAGCCAAAATTGTTCTTTGGCAGAGCATGAATTGGTTTTTCCAGCAATAACAACAAAAATGGTGGAACTTTCCCCACATTCATCCTCCATGACTGACCTCGGTAGCATTGTCTTTCAGCAGCTGGTCCACCACAGCCAGCACCTCCTTACACAGGTCACATGGCACGGATTTCTGAAACAGCAGGAGGGAGATGATTAGAGTAAGAAAACCAAAGGTCGGGATAAACAATGCCCACTGTTCAGCCATTTTACACAGGGTAAAGACGTGGGTCTAGTCCAGCGTTCCCCCCCCCGTGCACATTTTGGTTCTTGCCCTGGCACTACACCGCTGATTCAAGTAACCAACTCATCGTCAAGCTTTGATTATTTGAATCAGCTGTGTAGCACTAGGGCAAAAAACTAAAATGTGTACCCGGGGGGGGGGGGGGCCTCAGGACAGAGTTTGTGAAACGCCGGTCTAGACCTTTCCCCCTTCAATAAGTCAATAACTTGCTAGATAAAGCAGGCTAGTGTCTCACCATCTGGGGCTGGTTCCATACGTTCTGCTGGCAGTGGACTACGGCGCCACAGATGGAGGCAGTCTTCACATTGTGGCACCAGTAGTGGGGACCACGGGCACACTGTTCAGTCCCCAACAGGGGGGTGGCGACGGCTAGAAAAGAGAGAGAAAAATCAAATATGTTTAATCTATCCCAAACTGTTGGTCAGTGTAACAGAAAAGTGTTACACAAAAAGTGTTTGAAAAATTACACTGCCCTATTCTTGGATTAACATAGTATGTTACATTTTAGTCATTTAGCAGACGCTCTTATCCAGAGCGACTTACAGTAAAAGCAATGAGTGCATACATTTTCGTACTGGTCCCCTGTGGGAATCGAACACACAACCCTGCCGTTGCAAGCACCATGCTCTACCAACTGAGCCAGTCATTGGATTAGAAGTAGGCCTACAGTAAAACATAAATTAACCTCTAAATGATTTGGGCCTTTACTGCTATAGCCATAGAAACGCATAATAAAATGTCAAAACAGAGTCAAAAAGAAATCCTAAGGAATACGGTGTTAAAGTGTCTGTCCTATAGCTAGGAGATAAAGCCACATATTTAGATGACTCTCATCAGCCGGACGTGAACGGGAGACCCATGAGGCGGCGCACAATCGTCCCAGTGTCGTCCGGGTTAGGGGAGGGTTTGGCCGGACGGGATTTCCTTGTCCCATCGCGCACTAGCGACTCCTTGTGGTGGGCCGGGCGCCTGCAAGCTGACTTCAGTCACCAGCTGGACGGTGTTTCCTCCAACACATTGGTGCGGCTGGCTTCCGGGGTAATGCGAGCAATGTGTCAAGAAGCAGTGCGGCTTGGCAGGGTCAGTGTTTCGGAGGATGCATGCCTCACGACCGTCGCCTCTCGAGTCCATAGGGGAGTTGCAGTGATGGGACAAGACTAACTACCAATTGGATGTCACGAAAAAAAGGGCAAAACAATGTTTATTAATATGTATAATAAAATAAAGTATTAGTTTGCGTAATTTAACATTTATTGAGATCAATGGCGGCCATTATTTTAGCTGAGGTGAGAGAAAATAAACTGACTTTGGAATGAAATGTTGCCCAAATAAAATATATTTATCTAGATATGTTAATAATTACATAGTGTTAATTTTTGCATGTTTACCTGCCTACAACACTAGGGCTAACGTTAAATGGCTATGTAGACCACAAGGCCATAGTTAGTCAATAAGGCTTAGCTAGCTAGATAGCCACGAAGAACTGGCAGCTAGCTACCCACGAATTGCCATCTACTGTGCATAACATTAGTTTTAGGTCATTGCCTGTTAAACTATCTGGTTAGCAAGATTATTACAATTCACATATAGCTAGCTGATAGTCACGATGTAAAAACGTTTGCTTTGTGCATTTCTTGTTCCTCTCGGTTGTTGCCGTCGTCCCGGCTGGAAGAAGGTTCAGTGAATGGGTAAGTCCATAGTAAGTCAATAGGGTTAACTGGCTAGCTAGCTACCCAGTGAACGGGGAGGTGCAGCGTGAGGTAATACAGTAGGGGGCATGAGAGTGCTTCTCAAAACGTAATGTTTTATTAGTTATATACACTCTCGTCCTGACAAGAATATACAAGAGAACATCCTCGGAGCATGAGAGTGGAGCGCGGTAGTGTGCATATTGAGAAACACCCATAGTGACCTTATTGCAAACAGGGCTTCTTTAAAATGACTACTGCAATGGCTTAGATTACGCAACAGCAATCTAGGCCTAAGACAAAACAAGTTAAAGACAAACTGATTTCCCCTGAAGTGGATGTCATGGCAGTAAAAAGGTTAATGTAGTTGTATAAAACCAGCACATACACATCAAAACAAGACAAATCCTGGGTCGCGCACTTTCCCAATTCACTTTAGCATGCCATGTACTGTAGGTTCCACATTACATACACAGCCAAAGCCTTCCGACTGTCGCTGCTGCCCTGACCCACCAGTCCCCTGAAACAATGCCTGAACTGAAGGTCCGGTAAAAATCAGGCTAGCAAAACCTTTTGCAGCAGAAAACGGCAGCGTCTTATTGGAGATAACTCCAGACGGCATGCTATGCTGCCTCCCTGTTTGACTCATTTTCTAAACATGGTTGTTCCATTTGGCGTCTAAACATGACCCAGGTCACCATTGTCCATAGGTTAGTAAGCTAGCCTACACAGAGAGAGAGAGGGAGCGCGAGAGAGAGAGAGGTGGTGGTTTGTGGTTCCTTATCTGTTCAGAATCAAACATCCTCATATTGGCCTCTGGGATAAAGAAATGAAGCAAATGTTTTATGGAAACAGATCCTACCAAGAAACCCTGTGAAACCAGAGGAAAGCAGCAACCCAACTCTGTTCGACCTAGACAGTAGTCATAGCTAGGTCAATGTCCAATACTCCTTCAGCTGGAGAAAACAAGTCACTTGGTATCAATGGCTAGGTTATAAACAAAAACAGCAATATATTTCACAGTTGGCCTTGAAAAGGAAAAGCATAACACAGACCAACGGTCATGAAACCATCTGCAAAGAAGGAGAAGGTTTAGCCTACAAGATTATGTATTTGCCGAGATGCTGAAAAATATTCTGGGGATGTCAGATTCAGGCACGTAAGGCCAAAATGTTGCATTGACCGAGAGAGGAACGCCAGAGAAGCTGATGGATACACAGCCGCTGCCAAATAAAACCATCAATGTGATAGATGGTTAATCATGTGACAAAAGGAACCGATTACTCAGCAGACATTCCATAGTTAGCCTAGTGGTGCTGGATCAATAGCCTACATGCTGAGGCTGGACCCGTATGGAGTGGGTCGTTGTGATAGCAGCCTGACGAGAGATAGCAGACATGACAGGGAATGTGTTTAAGTAAGCAACAAAACATTCAGAACAGGGGGGAGGTACTATCTGTACTTGTCCAATGAGAAACGCGCCTTTTCATTTTTTTTTTACGTTGCAAAACATTTTTCTACAGTACGCCCTATGAAACACGACCCAGGCATCTAAGGCATTAGGCAACCCAACATGTTCACATGCTGATAATAGCCACCCACCCCTCCATTTCCCTCCTCAGCGGTCAGGTCACATGACTGGGCAGACAAAAACAAGCTGTTGCTCAATATGACGTGATGGGCTTAGCGATCACAAGGACATGTTTCATCATTGTCTGACTATCATAAAGGCTTTGCTCGTTGGAGAATGTCAGTGAGTCAGCATAGATCTTATAGTATAATTAAGCAATAACGCCCCAAGGGGAATGGTATATGGCCAATATACCACGGCTAAGGGCTGTTCTTATGCGCGACGCAACCCGGAGTGCATGGATACAGCTCTTAGCCGTGGTATATTGGTAATTTACCACAAACCTGAGGTGCCTTATTGCTATTATAAACTGGTTACCAACGTAATTAGAGCAGTAAAAATGTATCTTTTATCATACCAGTGTCAAAGCTATTCGCTGCTCTGGCACCCCAATGGTGGAACAAGCTCCCCCACGACGCCAGGACAGCAGAGTCACTGACCACCTTCCGGAGACACTTGAAAGCCTACCTCTAAGGAATACCTGGAATAGTATAAAAGTAATCCTTCTACCCCCTCCCCCACCAAAAAAAAAGTGGTTGTCCCACTGGCTATCATAAGTTGAATGCACCAATTTGTAAGTCGCTCTGGATAAGAGCGTCTGCTAAATGACGTAAATGTAAATACGGTTTGATAACACGGCTGTCAGCCAATCACCATTCATGGCTTAAACCACCCAGTTTATAAATAACGTTTTTAACCACCTACTCTGGAAACATTACAAGGGGGAGAAACATCATAACAGCCTACATTATAAGAGTGTGCTGCTCTGTTAGCCTACAGTTTACAGTAAACAGCGTCACAAGGACTGGAACAGGCCACAGCTTGACTCTGACTGGGCCTGCAGTTTACAGTAAACAGCGTCACAAGGACTGGAACAGGCCACAGCTTGACTCTGACTGGGCCTGTAGTTTACAGTAAACAGCGTCACAAGGACTGGAACAGGCCACAGCTTGACTCTGACTGGGCCTGCAGTTTACAGTAAACAGCGTCACAAGGACTGGAACAGGCCACAGCTTGACTCTGACTGGGCCTACAGTTTACAGTAAACAGCGTCACAAGGACTGGAACAGGCCACAGCTTGACTGACTGGGCCTGCAGTTTACAGTAAACAGCGTCACAAGGACTGGAACAGGCCACAGCTTGACTGACTGGGCCTGTAGTAAAAACAGCCAGCCACGTTTAATCTTACGTTTGAGTTTGATGAAGCATAATAGCATGCCTCAGAGCTGCTTGTAGCCTACATCACTCAACTGAGACGTGAATCAATCAACATCACATGACAGCACAAAGCAGCAGAAAATACTGCTACAGCTAGCCTATCCCCTACAGCTAGCCTATTCCCTACAGCTAGCCTATCCCCTAACCGCTACAGCTAGCCTATTCCCTAACCGCTACAGCTAGCCTATCCCCTAACCGCTACAGCTAGCCTATCCCCTACAGCTAGCCTATCCCCTAACCGCTACAGCTAGCCTATCCGCTACAGCTAGCCTATCCGCTACAGCTAGCCTATCACCTACAGCTAGCCTATCCCCTGACTGCTACAGAATAGTATAAAGTAATCCTTCTACCCCCCCCCACAAAAAAAAAAAGACAAAAAAGTAGTTGGCCCACTTGCTATCCTAAGTTGAATGCACCAATTTGTAAGTCGCTCTGGACAAGAGCGTCTGCTAAATGATGCAAATGTAACGATAACTTCACTATATACACAGGGTGACAGTACCAAGTCGATGTGCAGGAGTACAAGGTAATTGAGGTAGATATGTACATATTAGGTAGGGATAAAGTGACTAGGCAACAGGATAGAAAATAAAAACAGTAGCAGCAGCGTCTGTGAGGAGTCAAAAGAGTTAGTGGCTATCTGCACTGACCCTTTTTGCACTATGAGTAATCATATAACTGGCACCCACTGTGATAAGAAGTGGAGCGTCTACTAGACAGTTGCTATCTCACAGTGTGTTCCAAATCCAAAATACTACACAAGTCAACAAGGAACAAGGAACAAGCTAGCTATAAATTTTTTTTTAAAAAAACACATTGTCACAGCAGCAATAAGCACCTCTCGATCTCCTGATCAAACTAGGATACTAGAGCAAAGGTAACAAGCTTGTTCGTGTTTATTACAACAAAGCCCATTGTAATGACACTAGCCAATAGGGAAGTGAGTTTTGCTTATTTAGCATAGGGGTTCCATAGGGGACGTGACAGACTGCATGATTGATTTAGAGAACGTATTAGGTAGCAATCAGCAAAAAGACTGGCTCTGAATCATAGTGCTGAGCGATTAGTAAATTTCTAGGTCGGATTATTATAAAAAGGCACTTTTTTTTGTGTTTTCAAATATATATATATTTTTTTTAAAACTCGAAATGCATTATGAAATAATGACAAATTTGAGCTTTTTAATGGACATTTCAAAACCAAAAATGGTGAACATTCCATTGTCAAAACATTGAAAATATTCCATTGTCTGTCAGATCCACATTGGGTAGACATCAATAGAATAGTAAATTACTATGAAATAATACAACATTTCAGTTGTTATTTCACATAGATTTTATATGAGTATTATTTTTCGTTCCTTAAAGTCATCATCATCTCATCTTTGCTCAGTTAGTAGCAGCCAGACAACGTTAATGGGCGGCTGGTAGCTTAGTGGGTAAGAGCGTTGTGCAAGTAACCGAAAGGTTGCTGGTTCTAATCCCCGAGCCGATTAGGTGAAAAATCTGTCGACGTGCCCTTAAGCAAGGCACTTAACCCTAATTGCTCATGTAAGTTGCTCTGGATAAGAGCGTCTGCTAAATGACTAAAATGTAAATCTCTGTACTAGAGGTCTTCGCTGAGAAACCTGTTCCCAAATACCCGAGAGGGGGTCCGTATCCAGAATTCTAAACAAGGTCACGGGTCTGATCTGATAGTCACGGGTCTGATCTGATAGTCACGGGTCTGATCTGATAGTCACGGGTCTGATCTGATAGTCACGGGTCTGATCTGATAGTCACGGGTCCCAGGTACGTGTAACTTTAACTGAAGTATGGACCCTTTTGTCTGGAAGGGTCCATACAGATCCTAACAGACTGCTGCAGTAGAGAGACATTTTTATAACTGAATGATGCTGCTCTTGCTTGTCACCAGAGAGGAGCTTGTTGTTAGCCAATCACAAGTCATCAACGCAGCAATAAGCTACAGTCAGAGCAGCCATGTGGCAAAAGTGAGGAGATATCTAAATCAATGGAAGACAGATTTAAAATGACAGAATAAAAACAGTTAAAAGGAGAAGGATAGTGCTACAACGACCAAGAGCCAACAGGTAGGCTGCTACTTTATATTCTGAATGGAATTATTAGTAACTGTAGGATGAGAAAGCGCATGGACTGCAGCCGCAATTAGCCTCGCTAGCTATGTAAACATATTTGATTATAAATAAGCAGCTATTAAGTCTATAACGCGAGTTGGCTTGATGTCTCGTCTCTCACAGGAAGGTAGTCTCTCCCACAGGAATGTACAGCCCCTCCCCCACCTACCTACCCACTCATGTACATGAGGTTGGCCAACCGGTCCTACACACTTTGCCCCGTTTTGGCTCTGCTGCATTAGGAATGTAGTTGGCCGTATGAACTAGGAGGATATGACGGCATTTGTTTACATTAAAAAGGTGGGCCTATCATGCGCCTGTCCAAAGCTGACTCCGTCGTGGATGGACTACATCAAGAACGACCCATAAGTAAGCATTTTACCGTTAGAATAAAATGTGATTATAAATTAAAGACTGAATAGGGGAGCAGGTTAGAGGGAGTGTGATTTGGGAAGAAAACAGAACCATACTTTGTTTCCATATAGATTCTCTGCATAAGAAAGGGGAAGTACAGACTCACTGTACACTTCTGTTTTGTTTACATGTACCACAAGTGTGTGATATCCAATAATACATGGTGATATAACAGTTGTGTCATCACTGCCATGAACATGTGCAGACGGGTGTAAAAAAAAAAACAGGTCAGGTGTAAGAAAAACATTGGCAGGGCTAGCAACTCTGTTGTTCAGCTAACTAATGCGTCACACCAATGTCTGATATAAAATCCGTTAACGTGAGTTGCTTTGATATTATATATCGTGGCTTTTTTAATTTTTTATTACTGTAACAACATTGTGTCCGTTGGCTAAAAGTGACTCAATCGCGACTAGCTACAACTAACATTGTCAGAGTACCTTGCTGGCTAGCCAAATATCTATCGTTAGCTAGCTACAGTAGCTATAGTAACGTTAGCCAGCTAGCAGGAAGTTACCTAACAGGCATTAGCTACAGTACAGTTAGTTCCTTTCATAACGCAGAAATAATTAAAAACGTTGGCTAGCTAGCACAAAGTCAGTCATGCTAGCTACACAAGTGAACTACACATCTCGAATGTTCAGAGAAGTGAAGCTTTACGTTGCAAAATTTCTCATTGACTAAAAATGACATCGTATGTAGTTGCTACAGTGCTGGTAGTGTTGGCTAGCTAGCAATGGCTGCGGTGTTGACTTTGTTTGAAAAACGGCGTCGCTGCGAACGAATGTATCTGGCTAGCTAACCTCGATAGTTTCTCTATACTACACCTTTATCTTTGACACAAAGACAACTATGTAGCTAGCTAACATTACACTAATCAAATCGTTCCGTTGTAACGTGTGTCATATTACCTGCGGAGACGAAAAACAGAGCGAAGTACAGCATGACTGCGCGGTTGAAGTCCGTGTTGTCCTATCGAGTGTCTTTATCAGGATATTGTGTTCAGTTGTGAGCACTGCAATGCAGGGTGGGAGCTAGCTCTGGGTTTATATGATGCCTCACCGTCAGCTGACTTCTGAGCCCGGACATGTGACGCTCTGGGGCGGATGATCAGTGGTGACCTCAACCTTTTTTTTTGTGCCTTTAAAATAGTTAGTAGGTCATTGTGTAGTGTATCATTATTGCAATTATATGTAGACAAACATAGCTTACTCACTGTTCCACCCCCACATATGACAAAAAAGGCTATAGGGTCTTTGTTTTTGTCAACACATTGGCTGGATTGATACAAATTTGTAGCCAATGAAAATTAAGAGTACAATAAGATCACTGAGTCCATGAGGGTGATCACTGTATTCAAATATTTAACTGATCTAATGAAACTTGATTTGATTTCTACTGAGTGTTGGTACTCAATTTATTGCATTTACATGCAAATAATCCCATTTAAGCATACTGAGGAGTTTAGTTTAGGGTTATCTTTGCATAGCCTTCTCTGTCCTCTCCCCGGGGAATATGTAGGCCTAATGTATTTCTCCAGGCTCTCGATCGCATTCATTTTATGTGATTACGTTTTACAGGATGGCTTGTGAGAGAGAACAGACACATTTCCTCAAATATAGGCCGACATTGCGTTATGACAGATGTGGTGGAACAGGACAAACCTCAAGCTGATGATCCTCAAACGGAATTAATACTTTCCCCTTATGTATTTTACTGTTGTGAAATGTATCAATCAGGGATTCACAATGTTATTTTGCACCAACATCAGTACGTATTTGATTGGAAAATTGAATTAAATGATTATATCTTAAGTCTATCTTGTATAGCATACAATTTGTATCTGTCTTGTGTGAATGTAAATGTTGCTGTTACAATGCCTTCAGAAAGTATTCATACCCCTTGATTTATTCCAAATGTTGTTGAGTTACAGCCTGAATTTAAAATTGATTAAATTTAATACACACAATACCCCATAATGACAAAGTGAAAACATGTTTTTAAATTATTTTTGTAAATGTATTAAAAATGAAATAATTCATTTACATAAGTATTCACACCCTTGAGTCAATACATGTTAGAATCACTTTTGGCAGTGATTACAGCTGGGAGTCTCTAAGAGCTTTGTACACCTGGATTGTACAATATTTGCACATTATTCTTTTTACAATTCTTCAAGCTCTGTCAAGTTGGTTGTTGATCATTGCTAGACAGCCATTTTCAAGTCTTGCCATAGATTTTCAAGCCGATTCAAGTCAAAACTCTAACTAGGCCACTTAGGAACATTCAATGTCGTCTAGGTAAGCAACTATTTGGCCTTGTGTTTAAGGTTATTGTCCTGCTGAAAGGTGCATCTGTCTCCCAGTGTCAGTTGGAAAGCAGACTGAACCAGGTTTTCCTCAAGGATTTTGCCTGTGCTCTATTCCGTTTCTTTTTATCATATTATTTTTACTCCCTAGTCCTTGTTGATGACAAGCACACCCATAACATGATGCAGCCACCACCCTGCTTGAAAATATGACGAGTGGTACTTAGTGATGTGTTGTGCTGGATTTGTAGTTGAATCTGTGTTTGAAATGTACCCTTTGACTGAGGGATCTTACAGATAATTGGATGTGTGGCTTTGTAGTTGAATCTGTGTTTGAAATGTTCCCTTTGACTGAGGGATCTTACAGATCATTGGATGTGTGGGGGTATAGAGATGAGGTAGTCTTTCGAAAATAATTTTAAACACTATTATTACAGACACAATGAGTCCATGCAACGTATCATGTGACTTGTTAAGCACATTTTTACTCCTGAACTTATTTCAGCTTGCCATAACAAAGGGGTTGAATACCTATTGACTCAAGACATTTCAAATAAAATAAAATAAAATCAGCTTTACATTTAGAATTAAATTAGTAAAACTTTCAAAAAATGTAATTCCACTTTGACATTATAGGGTATTGTGTGTAGGCCAGTGACACAAAATCTCAATTGAATCCATTTTAAATTTAGTCTGTAACACAACAAAATGTGTAAAAAGTCAACGGGGGTAAAGTTCCCCCTGTAAAAGTTACATTTTCCCTGGAAAAAAATGTAAGCTAGTGTCACGTCTACTCCTGCTCCTCCCCTCCGGCGTTCGACATCGCCGGTCTACTAAACACCGGTCCTGGCAACCCTTCATTACGCACACCTGGCAACCATTCATTACGCACACCTGGCAACCCTTCATTACGCACACCTGGCAACCCTTCATTACGCACACCTGGCAACCCTTCATTACGCACACCTGGCAAACCTTCATTACGCACACCTGGCAACCCTTCATTACGCACACCTGGCAACCCTTCATTACGCACACCTGGCAACCCTTCATTACGCACACCTGCTCCTCATCATCAGGCACACCTGGACCTTATCACTTCCCTGATTACTCCCCCTATATATAGCACTCTGTTGTTATTTACCATCAGGCGTTATTGTCTCTGTTTCCATGTTCAGACGCATTCCTTGTTTTTGTATCGTTACGTGTTTGTTTATATTAAACTCTCCACCTGCTTCCTGACTCCCTGCATCTACATTACAGAATAACGCCTCACCACATGGAAGCAGCAGTTGATCAAGGCATCTCCCAGATGGTCAGCGAACAGGGAGACTTACTTCGCCAACACCACGACCAGCTGGCTCAACTGGGGACGGCTATGGATGAGGTCCTTCACGTTCTTCAACGTCTCGATGTTGCCCGAGGGGCATCACCTCCCTCGGGCAGAGGATTCTCTCCTACGTGTCGACCCAGCGAGCCAGCATCCCAGACCATCCAGCAGTCCGTCCAGGTCAGCGAGGTCCGTTTGTCCCTCCCGGACAAATACGACGGGACTCTATCAAAATGCCGTGGATTCGTACTCCAGTGCCCCCCCCTATTTCACGCATCAGATGGGAGCCCCCACCACCGAGAGGTCCAAGGTTGCCATGGTTATTTCCCTGCTGACTGGACGGGCGTTGGAGTGGGCTACGGCCATCTGGGAGAGAGGAGAGGAGGAGCTGGATTCGTATGACCATCCACCAGAAGGCAGAGATGGAGGTGCGCTTACTCCACCTGCGGCAGGAAGGCCAGACCGCTGCGGAGTACGCCCTCACTTTCAGGACTGTGTCAGCATTCAGCGGATGGAATGAGCCGGCGCTCCGCACCCTATTTCCGAAGAGGATTGCGCAAGGAGATCCAGACGGAGTTGGCGTGCCTGAGATGACACCCTCTCCTTGGCCGCACTGATCGTGATGGCCATCCGTCTGGATAACCTTCAGCGGGAGCGTCGGCACCACCATCATCTGAGTCAGAACCTGAACCCATGGAGGTCGGGGCCACGCGCCTGAGCGACACCGTCGGACACAGCTGGGGCTCTGTCCCTATTGTGGACAGGAGCGCACCAGCTTCCAACCCGGGGTCCACAAGAGCAGAGGGACAGTCCCGTGATCAACCTTCTCCTGAGTATTCCACCGTCCTCACTTTCCGCCAAACCCTTTCTAGTATCCATATCACTAGCTGGCTGTCCCTCATATGTTGTATCTACTGCTCTAGTGGACTCCGGTGCCGCGGGGAATTTCATTCACCAGGCCCTTTCCTCCTCACTGAACATCCCCTCATACCCGCTCTCCTCTCCATTTCCGGTTCATTGGATGGTCGACCACTGGGATCCGGGAATGTCACACACATCACAGCACCACTCCCCTTCACTGTGGGACCTATGCACCAGGAAAGCCTTCCCTTCCTCATCATCGCTGCACCCACGCACAAAGTCACCCTCGGCCTCCCGTGAACTTTAACGTCAAAACCCCACCATCTCCTGGTCGAGGATGAGAATCACCGCCTGGGCACCAGGATGCTGGAGGACCTGCTTCCCCTCACCTTGTGGTTCCACGTCTGTTGAGAGTCTGGGTAGCGCCCTCCAGCCTCCAGCCTATCCCTCCCTTATCGTTGGCCCCGTGTTTTGGGACGTAGATGTGGGCGCTACCGGCCGCACCTGAACGCATCTACTGCACGTCCCCTCGGAGGTAAGGGATAGTCTGTTGACCTGGGCGCACACATCCCTCACCGCTGGACACCCAGGTATCACTCGCACCATTCACTCCATCATTGAGAAATAGTGGTGGCCCACCTTGGCGCAGGACGTGGCTCACTATATCAACTCATGCTCAGCCCAATCAAAATCCCCCCGGCACACTCCAGCAGGGAAACTCCCCCTTCCCCTTCCCGTGCCTCAGCGTCCCTGGTCTCATCTGTCCATTGACTTTGTCACCGATCTCCCCTCATCTGACAGTTTCACCACCATTCTGGTGGTTGTGGACAGATTCTCTAAATCCTGCCGTTTTATCCCTCTCTGGTCTCCCTACTGCTCTCTGGGTCGCTGAGGCATTGCTTCAGCAGGTCTTCCGGCACTATGGCCTTCCGGAGGATATCGTCTCCGACCGGGGCCCCCAATTCACGTCACGGGTATGGAAGGCATTCATGGAGAAACTGGTGGTCACGGTCAGCCTCACTTCTGGGTACCAGCCTCAGTCCAATGAATGAAATGCATCCCCCCCCCCCCCCCCCCCCCACACCTTATTTTGATGTATCATAGCATCATAGCATCATAGGCTACACACCATCACCATTAGATACAGGGCATTCGGAAAAGTATTCAGACCCCTTGACGTTTTCCACATTTTGTTATGTTACAGCCGTATTCTAAAATTGATTAAATAGTTTTTTTCCCTCATCAATCTACACACAATTCCCCATAATGACAAAGCAAAAACATTTTTGTTTGAAATTTTTGCACATTTATTAAACATACAAAACTGAAATCACATCTACATAAGTATTCAGACCCTTTACTCAGTACTTTGTTGAAGCACCTTTGGCAGCGATTACAGTCTTGAGTCTTCTTGGGTATGACGCTTCAAGCTTGGCACACCTGTATTTGGGGAGTTTCTCCCATTCTTCTCTGCAGATCCTCTCAAGCTCTGTCAGGTTGGATGGGGAGCGTCACTGCACAGGTATTTTCAGGTCTCTCCAGAGATGTTTGATCGGGTTCAAGTCCGGGCTCTGGCTGGGCCACTCAAGG